TGCAGTCGCTGCGCTCGCATCGTCTCCATCCTCGCCGCCAGCGGAGTAGCGGCCCGGAGCCTGCCAGCCTGGCGAGCTAACGGTCCCAGCCACCCCCGCCAGCTAGCGCCCAGGGACTGAAGGCGGTGCCGGAGCCCAGCCGTCAGTCAAGCGGGGGCGGGGACGAGCCGCGTCCTATGCCAATCACCGGAGAGGGGGCGGGAGCAAGCGGGCTCTAGCTCCGCCATAGGCAAAATATTGAGGAGGGAGGAGATTCTGAGCACCCAATTGCAAAGAGAGAAAGCGATATCCTCTATAGGAGAGCTTAGCTTGGGCACATCTTTGGGAATAGCGGAAAGCCAGCCAAACCCCTGGGGCGAGGCTTGGGGGAGCAGGGTGGGCGGGAGAGGGATAGGCCTGGAAGAAGCAAGGCTAGGGAGAACTGTAGACAGAGTGAGAGGATACTTAGGGATCGGTTGTCTGATTACTTCATGTTATAGATGTAGATGAGGAAACCTGCTCAGAGAAGTGTTGTGATTTGTCCCAGCAATCGGCGGTGGAGCTGAAGCAAGGAAAGATGCTGACATTTAATGAGCAAATATTTACAGCATGCCAGACACTCTGCAATGTACTTAGTGCATTGTCTTATTTAATAATCACAATCACTAACTAGATTTTATTGTTTTACAGATAAGGAAACTGACACTCAGAGAGGCTAGATAAATTGCCCCAAATTAAATACCTAGGAGATAGCAAAGGGATGGGGGGTGGGGGGTTCAGACATAGGTTTTCTGATTCCCAATATTTGATCTTTTCATTATACAACATCGTTGGGTAATTTTCTGATTTCACCTATCCTTAGTTGGGGGAGCAAGAAAGAGTGGAATGGGCTGCCCCCTTACCTCCCATGAGGGGAGAGTTAGGAGGAGTTGGAGGAAGAGTTAGAATATATACAGAAAAAGAGCAAACTGGGAGGTCCAAAGGGCAGATTAGGACAGGCACCCTTGTTCATAAAACCTGTCGGGCTGGGTTCCTCTGATTACTCTTACATGTGCATATAAACACACACACCACACACACTTTGTCAGTTGACCATCATCATGCCATTTTTACCTGAGTAAGGTTGTAATAACTCCTCCCTTCCACTTCCCACCTCCCCGTGTGTGTGTCTGTTTCTCTCTCTCCCCCACTCTCTCTCTTTCTCTAAATAGCTCTCTCTCCACCCTACAATGGCTCTGAAATCAAGGACGGGGAAATAGAAGCCAGAAGCAGAAGAACATGGGTAAAATGGACCTGGTGAGATGCAAGTTAGACCCCAAGGAAATACTATGTGTGGTCAACAAACAGGAAGCTTGGAAGAGGGACAGTTAATCTACTGGGATATATCTACTGACTGTGGCGGGGGGGGGCACTTTTTGTAGGAATCTTAAAGAATTTGAGGCCGGACATAGGGGAGGCTGGGAGAATGGAACCCTGTCAAATGCCTTAAAACCTTCAGGACACAGGACTCTTGCCTTTCCTTCTATAACCACAGTTGGTCACTTGGTCTCCTGGAAAGAAATGGGGGGTGGACCTCTAAGCATCCCCTAAATCATTATAGCTGTAGTTAGCAGCACCCTCCCTCCTCCATTCCTCCTTTCCGACACCCCACACCCCCGGGCAGAAGTGACAAAACAGAGACTTCTGAACACATTTATTTGATATGTCAAGTGGAGAGAGGAGTGATTTAGTGTTACTCCCCACTTCCACCTGCGGGGGTGTTCATAAACTCAGACACACCGAAGAGCAGCTTAGAGCCCATGACCCACCCCCTGAGAAAATGAGACGACCTGTTGTATCAGTTGGGGGGACAGGGAGGGAATAAAAAGCAGGAAGTGGAGAAGTAAAGCTGAGAGCAGGAAGGGCAGCAGCAGAACTGAGTCTGGGGGTTGCTGCAGGAAACCCCCAAGGAGAGTGGAGAAGATATCCTGAACAGTGGTTAGGGCTGGAAACAGGTGTGAACAAGGAGCCAGGCCTGGAGAGAGAAGCGTAGACCTGCAGAGCAGGGTGGAATACTCCCGAACCGGGTCGAGTGTGCAAAATCATGAGCGGGTTGTGTTGCAGGGTGTAGTGGAAAGCAAGGAATTGCTTCCGTAGGAGAGCAGAGTTTGGAGACTACCCATAAGTAGGGGTTCCCTACTTACTGCTTCTGAACAAACGCAAGTGAGTTCGGCCCAGGACCCATTTGGGGCCCTAGCACAAGTGGCCCAGTGTGCGCTGTGCCTGTGGGTACACAAGGGATCCCATACGCATGTGAAATGATCAGGGCATGAATGCATGTGTCTATATGACCAATAAATAGAGTATTTACCCTTCCCTGCAGATAAGAGTAACTGTGCTGCGGACACGTTTGCCCATGTGTGCGTGCACCGTGCCCATGAGCACATGCAAGAGAACCCTATGTCCGCGGTGTGTGTGTGTGAGCTGGTTCTCTCACCTGTCCCGTCAAGGTGCTCATCCCCACCCTCCTTGGCTCCTCTCACTCCTCTCAGCGCCCTGGCTCCCCTGGCCCCCCTAGACTCTGGAAGCCCCCCAGCAGGCGGATCTGCTCAGTCTGCATGGAGTGGCGCCTCACCAACTTTCGCTTGGTCCTGGGAGAGCCGGGCGCTCCCGCCTGGGGAGGAGCGGGCAGCGAAGGCGCCCGACCTCCGGGCTGGGGGCGAATGTCGGGGATGGGAGGGTGGGGGCTGACGTTGAGCGGGGGCAGGAAACCCGGCCGCGTCTGCGAGATGTGGTCCAGGAGCAGCGTCCCCGAGCCCCTCCGCTCCAGCAGCCCGGGGCTCCGCCTCCGCCCGCTCAGCGGAGATACAGCCCCCGGCAGACTCTCCTGGGACTGGCGCGGGGAGGGAGCCGAGCCCGCCAGAGGGAGGGTCAGCGGGGAGGCGCTGTACCGGCGGCGCTCCAGGGACGGGCGGCTGCACTCCGGCGAGTCGGGGCACATATTTCCGGGGGTGTCGAGCTCCACCGGCTCCATGCGGCTCAGTTTCTGCCTCAGCCCTGAAGGGGGACCAGACTCCTGAGCTTCTGGCGCTGTGTTTCGGCGAGAGAGGGGACCCCCACCCATCACTTTCTCCGCCCACGGGGGCGGGGCCTCGGGGCCTTCGGTGCTGTGACGTCTGGAAAGACGCGGTCGACCGGTCAGGGTCAGGCCGTTGAATTCAGCGGTCAGGCGCTCCAACCCCGGCCTCCCTTCCGCGGGCGGGACCGGTTGAGGAGGAGCCACTAGGCCCCAGGGCTCGGAGTTGAGCCTTTTGAGTGGTTTTGGAGGGTGACGGGGTGGTTTGGGGAGCGGCTCAGAAGGGGAGGGGTCATCGGGGGGCTTAGGAAGAGGGAATTCAAATACGTCCCGCTTCTCCTCTTCTTCCTGGGTGCGAGGCGATATCAGCCCCCGTCCTCCCCCTGCAGTCTGCAGCTGGATTTCCGAAGGGGAGGTGCAGACCCCCGGGCTAGGAGGAGCAGGAGCGGGGTCCTCTACCCCCGGCGACGGTGGGGAATTGAGATACTGCCGGGTCTTCTTGGTGCCCGAGGGAGAGGTGTCGGTGGTGATGATGATGACCTCCGTGCCCTTGGCCTTACAGGCGTCCAACAGCGTGGCAAGGGTCTCGCGGTCCCCGCGGTCCAGGGCATGGACAAGCGCCGAGGCGCCCGCGTGATCTCGGACTGAGGGGTCTGCGCCGTGGGCAAGGAGCAGCGAGGCCACCGCGGCGCCCCCACCGCCGGCGCAAGCGTGCATGAGGGCGGTGCGCCCCAGGCGGTCTGCGATGTTGGGGTCCGCACCTTGCTCCAGGAGGTAGCGTACCATGCGAGCCTTGTTCTGGGGGTCGTCGTAGCGGGCCCGACAGGCCGCCATCAGCGCAGTCTCCCCCTGGGCATCACCCTCATTCACGTAGGCGCCCCCCTCCAGAAGCAAACGGGCCAAGCGGAGCTTACCCTGACCCACGGCCCGAAGGAGAGCGTGGCCCTCGGTGTGCAGCATAGCTGCGGCTGGGGCGAGAGCACCGGTGGAGCCGGGACCGGGACCTGCCGAGGAAGGCTAGGGGCGTGGGGGTGGTGGCTGGCAGAGGCCTGAGGGCTCAGTGGCGAAGCCAATCCCTGCGAGAAAGACAAGAGATCTTACTGACGGAGTCAGGCGGGGAAACTGAGGCAGCGGTGGAAGGACCCGGCGTGGGGCGGGGGAGATCGCCACTGCGCGGCACACAGTCCTTCTACTAACTCATGCCTCTGAGCCGCCCCCTCCCCCCAGCGCATGCCTGAGGAGGTGGGAAGGGCGAGCGCGCGTGCAAATGCGTACGTGCACGCGCAGATCTTCGCACCCCCACCCTCACCCCACGGCTTACCAGACCTTTCCAGCATCCCCCTTTTCTCATCCGCACTTGGAATCCCCCTTTCTAGGAGGTTGAACACCACCCACCCACGCACATGCACCCCTCCATTCACACACATACCCATTCCTAACCTCTTGTAGGTTGCCACAGCCCCATAAATGGAATGGGGGGAGGGAAGCAGCTTGCATTTGGGACCTAAAATGGGTGGGGGACAATTGGGGGTTTCTTTTGCCCCTGCTACGTTCCCCATCACTCCTTGCTCTCTCCCCTCCCAGGCTGTGCGCCCAGATACCTGAATGTCCGCAGAATCTCCGCCCGGCCAGGACCCAAGCCAGGGCCACCAGGCAGCCGGGGCGGCGGAGCCGGGTTCCCGGGGGCCCACATGGCGTGTGGGGGGGGGCACCCGGATTCCCTTGGTGTCAGTGTCTGCGCCCGGGCACCGGATCCTGGTCCCTCCTCCCGGTGCGCCCCGGGCACAGCGCCGGCTCGGGAGGAGAGAAGCTGGGGTGGGGGGGGTGCGAAGGGCGGAGCTCTGCCTTGCTATTTATAGCCTAGTCTCTGCGGGTGGGGGCGTCCGGCACCAAACTGCTCCCCCACCCATGCACACATAAACCCTCTAAACCTAGAGACACCAATCCTGACTCCCCTTGCTCAATCGGCCACCCCTCGGCCCCAACAAACCTAAATGTTCCTTGGGAGATTCCTCCGCGACCCAGACTGGGACCATCCCAGTTCTTCATGGAGCTTCAGGTCCCCATTCTCCGCGTTTTGTGTGCTTATGAGCGCCTGTGCGCCAGACCTGACCTACCACGGACCGCACAGGGCACACTGTGCAGAGTGGTGGAGAGAGGCGATTGGGATCCACAGCCGGGGTCCATACTGTGCAGAGAGAGGCAAGAGATCTGGCTGGCTTCTCGTAGTTTAAATGCCAGGGGAGCTGGAGTCAGACACAGCGGTACATCCTCACTCCACCTCCCCCAAAACGGAACACACAGCACAGATAAACTTGGACCTCAGCTCCTTTGTACAGACTTCTCAGCTAAGTATGAGGAGGGTGGATATCAGGTCATTTTCAGATACAGGAATGGGCATTCCCAGATGCTTCCTCCCCATATTCGGCGTGGGGGATAGAAAAAGAGCAGAGAAAAGAGAGAGAACGTTGTAACACATCCTCTCTCATCGCATCTGTCTTGCTTCGTCTCATTATCTTTTCATCTTGCTTGAAGGTCTTTGTCCAAATCTCTCCTTAAGTCTTTTCCTATCTGTTGCAATCGGTTTCTTTCTCTCTCTGCTTCTCCTTGCCACCTGCCCTGTCTCCATGGTTACCATAGCTTCTATCTGCATATTTTAGGAATGAGTTTGTGTCCAGCTGGAAGGCATCAGGGGAAGTGAGGGATGAAGAAAAAATCCTAAGGATTTGGAAAACTCACCTGAGAGAATTCAGAGGCTGGAGGCCACCAGACACAAGATCCTAAAAATAGTGTTCCGGAAGAAGAGGAGAGAGAACTATTTGCAGGGCAGCTTTCCATTTTACCAGCTACCATTGACTGGACATCAACTGTGCGCCAAGTACTTTACAGATATTATCTCCAATCGTCACAACAACAGTATCCGGAAGGAACTATCCTTGGTTATAGATAAAGAACTGAGACTTAGGAAAGTTAAGCAAGTTCTCCAAAGCCTCACAGGTCTGTTTCTGTCCGGTTACAAAGACTGGGCATTTGTCACTACACCTGTATACAGCCTTCCAAACTCAGAGTCTCCACCCTCAGGGCCATTTTCTCTGACTTCTGGGTTATATGCTTCCTGACTCTCCCTCTGTTTCTGTTTTTGTGAAAGTAGGTCTCCCCACCCCCCCACCCCCCCCACACAATATATACTTCCTGACTCTCCCTCTGTTTGTGAAAGTAGGTCTCCCCACCCCCCCCACCCCCACACACACCGCTCCTCACTTTATCAAGGGCCTGGGAGGAGCTGGAAGACAGCGGAAAATGCAGAAAACACTGGTCTCCTGCTCTGCTTCCCCAATGCCGGTTCTTTGATTCCTGACCCTTCCTGCCCCGAACCTTCTTCCCATCTTCTCACAGACATGTCAGCAACCCACAAGAAAAAAATTTTTTTTTTTTTTAGAAAAGAAGTATTCATTGGTGGTGCTAGAGGGAAGCAGGGTAGGATCGAAGGGAAGGTTGGAGTAATGGAGGAGAGGCCAAGCTACGAAGCCAGAGCCACAGAAAGCCTGATCCCTAATGAGCAGGTTTCATAGGGGTTCATTTCTCTATGCGAACTCAGTCAATAGAGTCCCTCGGTGAGATCTGAGTGTCAGGCTCCCTCTGGGAACTCTCGCCAGCCAGGGGCTCCTCCGTCTGAGACGAGGTTGGAAATAACTGACCCCTGGTCGCTTCTGCAACCCCACCTGTCTCCGCGCGGGGCTCCCCAAGCCTGGTTCCGGCTGACTCTCTCCCTCCCTGCGTCTCCTCCTCGGCTTCCAGTGGGCGGACCTCTTCGCCTAGATTGGCCGGGAGAATTCACCAATGGGGAGCTCCGGGAGGCGGACCCAGAACGCCACCAGCTCGAGGAAGACAGGCAAATTTCAAGTTGGCTGCGGCTTGGGCTCCGCGTGGGGGAGGGGCAGCAGGTAAGGTTCCGACCTGGTGGCGCTGAGCTGGTTCGGTCCCACATTTCCCAAACTGGTTCTTCAGGACCAAGCTGCAGGTTAGATAGACAACGCGGTCTGGCGGATCAGCCCCCTTCTGGCTCCCTACCCTTTCTCCACTGGGCTCCTCTTGCTGTATTGATTGTATACCAGAGAACCGTAGTTTTCTTTTGCACATGGGCGAGAGATATTAAAACAGAAAGTAAGAAAGACTCATTCTTGTACCTACGACTTTTGCAGTGGCATCAGCTTCCCTTGAATCTACTAATATTATCTCCCTAAGAGCCTAACAGACAGACTCCTGCTACCTGTCTAGACTCAGCCGAACGCATACCTCCTTCCTAGCTTTCCTGGACCTCCTTTTTTGCAGAATTAATTGTTCCCCAGTCTGATGATAGCATTTTACGCATACTTCCTTAGAGCGCTTAAGTGCACGCTCTCTCTTCAATGTTTCTATTCTTCTTAGAATATAAGGTTCTGCAGGGCAAGTTGTAGTACTTAATACACAGTGCCCAATAAAGGTTAATTGAATGGAATTGACTGGGGACGCAGAATTAAAACTCCTAATGTAATTAGGGAACAATTAATGAAAGACGAAATAAAATGCAATACAGCATATAATTAAGATCTCCTAAATTAGTAGTTCATAATACAATTGCTCGTAGGACTGGGATGGTGAGGGGAGGCTTTATGAATCACAAGGTCTCAAGTTTGGAAGGACCCTTAGGAATCGTGTTCATTCATTCAACAGGTATTTATTGAGCATCTACTGTATGCCAGACACATGCTAGACAATGGGGATCAGAGCGAATCTTCTACTCTAGGCCTGCGTGCTCCGTCTGATCAACTGCACTTAGTAAATTGTCATCCAGCTTCTACCGAAACGTCGTTAGTAAGCGAACTCCCTATCTCGCTTTGCATGTCATTCCATTTTGGCATATTTATTCTTCGATTAATATTCAACAGATATTCTAAACAAATATGCAGCTCGATAAAATGCATTCCACACTTCCATTGTAAAAGAGGGAGAGGTGTCCTGGTGGTAATATTCTTAAAAATTAAGAACACCATCCCTTTTGTTTTCTGATTATAGGAGTGATACACACTTATTCTAGAAAATTCGGAAACACATAAAGGTATAAATAAAAATGCCTGTTATTTCATGGCCACGATATAGTGAAAACCATTATTTTAATATATATCCTTTCAATGTCTTCACTGTATGTGTACATATATGTACATATGTGTGTATGTGTGTATATATTACATAAATATGGCCATATAATGAATACATTTTATGTCATGTTCCTCTCACTTTATATTATGAATATTTTTCTGCCTTTAAACATTATTTGAAATCATTTTTATGGCTACATGGTAGTATAAAATGGATACTCGATTTTTTTTAGCCATTCATTTCTTGTTGGACCATTTAGGTTATTTCAGATTTTTTACTACTATGAATAGCTCTTTGATGAACATCCTTGACTATATATCAGATGATTTCTTGAGGATAGATTTTTTTCTAAGTAGGGTTACTGGATTAAGGATATGAACATATAAAAGGCTGTTGATTCAAGGAGTCAAACTGCTCCATCGAAAGATTGTGATCCAGCGAAGTATGACAGTGTCCATCTCAGAAAAACTCATGACAGCCCGATTATTGTTTAAATCTTTGTCAGTTTGATAGGTAAAGAGTGATTTTATAGGCCATACTTCTGTCAATTGCCTATTCATGTCGTTTGCACATTTATTCTTTTGGGGTGATATTTCTTTTCACTTGGATTTCTGTGAGTTCTAATATAATGAGTGTTAACTTCTTGTCTTATTCATTGCAAATACAGGAAACTCTAAACATTAGCGTGTTCCAGGCTTCAATCCCCGGATCTCCTCTTTTCTCTGTTTACATTCACTCCTTTAGGGATCTCGCCCAGTCTGCTGGCTTGAAATAGTCATATATTGCTAACTCCCCTAGAATGTGAGCTCCATTGACACTTCATGGGTGTAGAAGTTTTTTGGTCTGGTTTGCTCATTGCTGTAGCCCTAACACTTAGAACAGTGCTTGGTACACAGCAAGCACTCAGTAAACACTTGTCGAATGAATTAAGATGGTTTTGTTATTATTTTTCCCATCGTACAGTTGAAGAAACAGGTTTAGGGATATTAAATAAATTGCTGAAGGTTATGTAGCTAGGAAATGATGGAACTGGGATTCAAATCCATGTACTACTACATGTAGTGCCCGCCTACATGTTAAATTTGATGTAATTGTTTTTCTGTATGTTTTGTTGCAGCCTATTAACCTTTACCACAATACACAGTTATGCATAATTGAGAATGAGTATAATGAATATGAAATGTTATTTTGGGGGAAGGGGAAGGCAGGGGTGACCACTAGGAAGGGTTGATGTTAAGGAGGAACAGTTTTCGACCCGATTATGGGAGACCTTAAATATTTTCAAGAATTTAGACTCAATCACAATCTTAAATAGAAGAGACTCATTGTAGATTCCTGAGCTGAGTGGGGTAGAGGTGGATGGTTTACAGGTTCCCAAACACCAGTTTGTTGCCTGAATTAAATTAAAAATTGTCTTCTTTTTACCCCACGTCTTTGGCTAGTATGTGGCAGCGGAGTTAGATTTGTCTAGTCTCAAAGCTCATAGCCTTTTCTTAACTCCGCACTGTTCTGCAGTCAAAACAACTCCCATCTCCATTGCTAGAACTGTATTTGTCAAGTGGAAAGATACCTAAGCCAGCTGGTTAGAGTGTCATTTCCCTGGAAAGGGCCTGAAGACATGGTGACAGATTATTACTCCATGAGACATCCTCTCTCCCCTAATATGTTCTTTCAATCAGATCACAATCTATTAACTAACTGCCATTTTTTCTTCACATTTTTTTTTTGTGGCAGTTGGACTTAACACTGTCCAGGTTCCCCAGACACGTGTTTTTCTACCTTCCCCTTCCTGCTGCATATTATTAGATTGATCTACTATTCTGTTACTTTATATTTTTAAATTTAACTTAATATTTTTCTTATTACAAAAACAATACCCATTTGATATAGAAGAAAACATTAAAATACAAACAACAACAACAACAACAAATCACTTCAAATTAACCAGTGTTAAATTTTGGTGTATATCCTTTAAGAATATTTTATTCGTGTGTGCGTGTGTGTGTGTGTGTGTGTGTGACCACTTAGATTACCTTATACATATTTTTAAATTTTTTTAACCAAATAATTTTTTGTGAATGCCCTTCACAGAGCCATATATTTCTTGTCTAGCATATTCGTTGGCTATTAATTGAAGAACAACTATCCCAAAATGGAATGGCCTGCAAAGTGAGATAGGGAGTTCGCTTACTAACAACGTTTATATAGAAGCTGGATGACAATTTACTAAGTGCGGATGAACAGAGGAAGGACGAATGCCTAGTGTAGAGGATTCTCTCTGATCCCCATTGTCTAGCATGTGTCTGGCATACAGTAGATACTCAAAAAATACCTGTCGAATGAATGAACACATGATTCTTAAGGGCCCTTTCAAACTTGAGACTTTGTGATTTATAAAGCCTCTCCTCACCATCTACCATCCAAGTCTTCCTAGCTTTCTCCCTTCTCTGGACTGTGGGAGCAATTATATTATGAACCACTAATTTAAGAATTCTTGATTATATACTGTTTTGTCCCTTATTGTTCCCTAACGTGTTGTTATATATACCCTTAATATGATGTGATGAAATTGCACTTTACCTCTGTGATCCAAGTCTATAACCCCAATGTAATTAGGAGAAAAACATTAGACAAATTCCAGCAGACATGCGTCCTATTATACACCCGAGCAGTACTCTTAAAACTGTCAAGATCATCAAAAACAAGGACGATCTGAGAAACTATGAATTTTGAGTTGCTATTCGAGTTTCTTTTTTTATTATTAATAGATTTTATTTTTAAAAACAATTTTAGATTTACAGAAAAGCTGAGCAGATAGTACCAAAAGTTCCTATATGCCCTGGTGGATTTTCCGCTACTATTAGCATCAAATGTTAGCACAGTACATTAGTTACAATTATGAAAACATATTGATAAATTATAATTACTTAAGGACATAGTTGATTCACATTTCCTCAGTTTTACCTAATGCTCTTTTCTGTTCCAGGATCCCATTCGGTACACCACATTACATTTAGCTGTCATTGGTCCTATTATGTATGTCTGTATGTGCATATATATACATATACACACATATATGTATGTATACACACAGAAATGAAATCGAAAGGATACATACTAAAATGTTAATAGTAGTTATCAATACATGGTGGTTATCATGTATTGAAATAATACATGATATAATAAGTATTTTTACTTATTGAAATAATACATGATATAATAAGTATCATGAAATAATAAGTATTTTTTTTAATGTCTTTATGGGTTTCCAAGTTTTCTAGAATAAATGTATATTATTTCGGAAAACAAAAGGGATGGTGTTCTTTGTTTTCAGGAATGCTACTGCGAGGCCAGCTCTTCCTCTTCTCCAGTGGAAGAAGGGACCGTCCTTGTTTTTGGTGTCTTTGGCAGTTTTAAAGGCTACTGCTCAGGTATGTGATAGGATGCTCCTCTGCTGGAATTTGTCTGATTTTTTTCCCCCCCAATTAGATTGGGGTTATGGATTCAGGGAAGAAGGTCACAGAGGTAAAGTGGTAAAGTGCCACTTCATCACATCATATTAAGGGGTCACGCTAGCAACATGATTTAATATTGTTGATGTTGACCCTGGTTCCCAGACTGAAGTAGTGTTTGTTCAGTTTCTGCACTGTAAAGTTATTAATCCCCCTTTCCAAAACTGTATTGGACAAAATTCCCTATACGCAGCCCACACTCAAGGAGAGGGGAGTTCCACCCACGCTCCATCCCCCCTACATAATTTATTTGGAATTCTGCATGAGAGCTTTGTCTTTTCTCCTTTGTGTCTTAATTTATTCGATCATTTATTTATATTAGTATGGACTCATGGATATTTTATATTTTTAGGATTAGAATTCAGTACCACTTTATTTTATTGCTCAAATTTTTCAGCTTTGGCCATTGGCAGCTCTTTCAGTTGATTCTTATGCCCCTTTGACATAGCCCCATCAATGTGAGCGTGCGTGTGTATGTGTGTGTGTGTGTGAGTGGTCGTTGTTGTTGTTTTGAGTACTTTTGGGCACTACAAGATGCTTCAGTCTCGTCTTGTATATTTCCTGCCCCAGTCTTAGATTCAGCCATTTCTCCAAGAAGCCCTAGTTCCTTTTATTGAAAAATGGTATTAGAAACCAAGATCTGGTTGCTAGGTGTGTCCCTTGCTAGTGGGGTAGCATTTCTTTCAAGTTTCATTTTCATTTGGTAATTTATTCAGCATCCTAGCTGCCTCTCACTGGCCCCTGGGATTGATGGCAAGAGGCAGAGTTCAGTTCAGTAGCGGGAGGATCTTTTCATTCATCAGAGTTGATCACAGTGGAATGGGCTGCCTTGGAGAAGAATAGGTGCCCTCTTTCTAGGAAAAGGCCATCAGAAGCTGAATGACTAACAACTTACAGAGTGGAGTAATGCTCTGGGAGGGGGTGTGGACTAGATAACTCCATGGCTTTTTCCAATTCTAAGAGTCTGTGCTTCCAAATGGTACTTAAAAAGATCAGTTTGATCATAATGGTCCTCCCCACCGCCTCACACCGCACCCCCAGCTCTCCACCCCCACCCTGGCCACTGACAGTGAGACCGGTGACTTATCCCTGTACCCCCGCAGTGCCTGGCACACGACCTTTTTCACGGGCTATGCTTAATAAATGTTTTCTTGAAATGCATTGCGTTGGATTCAACTGGGGCTTGGCTGGGTTTGGAAAGCCAGAAAGAGAAAGAATGCAAAGGTCACGTATGCATCAGATATGCAGATGGTGATAAACATCAAATTATCTTAGGGAGGTAGAGAAGTTTTATTCAAGGATCTAATCACTTTCCCTTCGTGCTACAGTTACACTATATTGCAGTTATCTGTCCTGTTACGACCATGTCTCATCCATGTTTATATTTTCAAAAATACCCTGCCTGGCACTATACCTTCTCAGTCAAAATTTGTTGAATTACACTGGCCTTTCAGGTCCCAGGGGGGAAAAGTTTGAGTGTCTCGTACCTCCCTAGCTTCCAATCCGTTCTGCTGTACTTTTTCTCTTTGTTTTTGTCTTTATCAGGTTTTTCTCTCTGGATCTCTGAATACCCAGGCCCCCTCCACCATGGCCAGCCGGGGTGGGGGCCGGGGTCGGGGCCGGGGCCAGTTGACCTTCAACATGGAGGCCGTGGGCATTGGGAAGGGGGATGCTCTGCCCCCGCCCACCCTGCAGCCTTCTCCACTCTTCCCCGTGAGTGTCCGTCCGCACTCCCTTCCCAAGTCCCCCGAGTACCCCTAGCTGACCGTGTGTGATCCTGGATTTCTCCGGGGTCATCTTAAAACCATTTTCCCTTTGCCCCTTCCTGTCTCTATGCTCCCAACTCACATGGCATGTTTTCCAGGCCAGGAAGTGTCTACCCTTACTTCTCACACTCGCAGCTCCCCAGCTTTCAAAATGTTGCGTTGCTCCCCACATTTTCCTCTGGCCCTTTGCTCATTAGGAGCATTGGGTTGAATTGGGGGGAGACACCCTCCTGGATTTGTACTCCAGCATTTTCTCCCTGGACTGACCACTGCCTCTGCCTCCTTAGCCCTTGGAGTTCCACCCAGTGCCTCTGCCCTCAGGAGAGGAGGGGGAATATGTCCTGGCGTTGAAGCAGGAGCTACGAGGGGCCATGAGGCAGCTCCCCTACTTCATCAGGCCAGCTGTCCCCAAGAGAGGTCAGTTGGAATGCTCGCGTCTTGTTCTGAGTGCTTTCCGTGAGCAGTGCCCTCTATTCGGCATTACTAGGGGCCAGAGATGCCAGAAGAGGCCCAGGAGCTCACCGTCTAACTGGGGAGGATCATAATTACCACTGCGTTTGAAATGCACGATGGTATCCATGGGTGGTTTTGAGTCTCACGACAATCTTGAGACAGTAGGAGGTTAAGGATTAAGATGCCCATTTCACAGGTATAAATGGAGGGATGTATTACAGTTTTTAACAATCTGGATTTACAGGCACCAACCGATCAGAAGAGGGGCTGGTGCTGGGTCTCTGAGAAGCCCTGCTAACGATAAACTATGACCTCTCTGGCCAGTGGATTGGGGAGAGGTCAGGGAGACCAGGAGGGACTGGGGAAGGGGGCGCACTGGGGAGGCTTGGGAGGGCGGATATTTACCAACTGCCGTGGAGGTACAGCACTGCAGAATCTGGACCACCGAAGCCCTGCTGAAGCCCGAGAAGCTGAAGCTCAGAGAGAGAAAGGCCTTGTCTAAGCTAGAGAAGGAGAGATGGAAGCCTGGTTGCTCGCTCTCTGGTATCCTTTTTACTGTACTGTACCACCTCTCGCTATAGTCATGCCTTCGGGTTAAGAGAGAGAACAAAAACATCGTCATTTTGGGTGGCAAAGGGACAGTTTAGAAGAGTATCGAAGGTCTTCGGTGAAGCTGACCCCCTGGGCTCTGGATTTGGGCTGAGGGGACAGACAATTCCCGAGTGTCGAGAAGGCTGGGCCCTCGGGAATAACCCTGTTCTAGGGCTCTGAAAGGATAAAACTTTGACCCTTGGCCTCTGACCCCTCAGATGTGGAGCGTTATTCAGACAAATATCAGATGTCAGGGCCTATTGACAATGCCATCGACTGGAACCCCGGTAGGTGACGGGCCCTTTCGTTGACCGCCCCTCTTTCAAACGTTTGAGATGCCTAAGCCACCGCCTCATGCACCCTCTTTTGTCCCTCCCTCCACCCCATTCAGCACATACACGCTCAGGTTCTACCTAAAAACCTATTAAGTAGTCCCCACTCCCAGGAGGCATCCAAGCCACGGGCTTGTTCCAAGCATCTTTGGTGCAACCTTATTCCTTCCTCACCTTTATCCCGACCCTGAGCTTTCCTTTAAAACCGGTCATCACCCCCAGGAGACCCCGGGCAGGGTCCTACTGACTTTTATATTCCCACCATTCCCAGACTGGCGACGTCTACCCCGGGAGCTAAAGATCCGAGTGCGGAAACTGCAGAAGGAGCGTGAGTGTATCTGGAGAAAGCGGAAAGAGAGGTTTCCTTCATCAGCCGGAGGAGGGCGGAGGCTGCGGGTGGTCTTGCCAGCCCCTCCGATTCCTACCCGCATCTCCCAATGTTCTTGCTGGATACCAGAGTGGCCACATGAGGGCAGCAGAGTGACATGGTCTCCGCAGGAAGGTGGGTAGAAAGCTAACAAGGGAGTTTGCTCTCTGATGGTTCGCTCTTTGATCCCCTCACCAGGGACCACTATTCTACTCCCCAAGAAGCCCCCTAAGACCACCGAAGATAAGGAGGAAACTATACAGAAACTAGAGGTGAGGAGGACCTGTGCAGAGCCCACATGGGCCCGAACCCATCCCTCCCCTTTGGCCCACGTGGGCCTGCCTCAGGTGAGTCTGAGTTTGCCTTCCTATTTGTCTTCACATAAGACCCTGGAGAAGAAGGAGGAAGAAGTAACTTCAGAGGAAGATGAGGAGAAAGAAGAAGAAGAAGAGAAGGAAGAAGAGGAAGAAGAAGAGTATGACGAGGAAGAACACGAAGAGGTAGAGGGACCTCCTTCCCCCGCCAGCCCCTCTCTCTCGCCCTCCTTAGCTCTGGGGACCTCAACTCTGTCCACCAGGGGTGTTCCCCTTGGAGAACCAAAGGAGAAAGTGCTCCCCAAAGATCGCGCCCTTCACTTTAGCGTCTCCAGGCCCTCGTCAAGAGTGGACAACAGCTGGAAGGGGTTTCCAGGCCTGGAATGGCGTGGCTGGGAGGGAGGGGGCCTGGCACACAGGGAGAAGGGAGCATGCCGAAAGCAAACCCGGAGGTATTTTCTGTTTCAGGAAACTGATTATATCATGTCCTATTTCGACAATGGAGAGGACTTTGGGGGTGACAGTGATGATAATATGGATGAGGCTATCTACTGAAGAAGGACCCCAAACACCACCCTGGAGCTTTCTCTCTCGATACAGGATACAGAGAGTAACTGTCCCTATTATTTGGTTTTTGTGGACAAGAAAATCATCTGCTCAGAGTCCAGATGACTCGTTTGGTCTCTGGAGATACAAATGGAGAATGATGACAGACAGACTCTCTTTTCTACCCTTCCCCTCCCTCCACCCTTGAATCACCTCTGATATCTTGGGAAAAGGGCAGAGGACCCATGTCTTAATGGTATGAAAGGTCGAAAGAAGAAAGAACGTCAAAAGAGGAACTGGAATTGTAAGAGCTGAGACAACCCCTCCCTGTTTTTTATTGTTCTTTATGGGGATCATCATGGGTGGGAGCTGTTAGGAGGAAGGAAGCCAGTTTTATATTTTTAAATAAAATGTTTTTATCTGTCTCTCTCTGTCCAGGGCGAGGCCTGGTGGGAGAGGGCTGGAGGAATGAAGGGGACGCCTCGCTGAGCCATGGTTCCCTCACCTGTCAGAGTCCAGCGTGACACCCTGGGGGTCACAGCCTTCCTGTCCCTTGCCCCTTCCCTCCCACATCCACCGTGGGACACCTGCTCCCAACCTAGCCCTGCCCAGGAACAGTCCCGAAATGCGTTTGCAGGGACGTGCAGAATGAGTAGTGGAAAACACTGACACCCCGGAGACCAGCTGGCTTCTGAGTCTCTGGTCCTCGGGCCATGGCGACGTGATTGTGTCTGTTCACAACACATTCACAGGGACACAGGCTCGCTCTTTCCCATACATGACCTTGATCTTGTCCTTGTTTACAAAGAACGATTGCAGCTATTTTTATGGGGACAGTCAAGAAAGCCAGGTGCGGGGAGGGAATAGGGAGGAGCTGCTGATTCTTCTTCATCAGGCTCTCTGGCCTCCAGGCCCTGGAGACCCCACTTTGAAACGTTTGTCTTTGCAGTGGGAGCCCCTAAATATTCTATTCTCCATTTCTAGGAGCCACCGTGGCTGAGTCGCACTTTCTCTCTTGGTTCTCCCTTTGTGGAATTTGGTTAGCCTTTCTCATTCCCTTCTTGGGGGAAAGACGGTAGGCGGTGTTGCTTTACAGGAAGTAATGCGGGTGGGGAGGAGGGGAGTGACTTGGGGACACTCACAGCTCTGAGCGATGATTTCTCGCCCACACAGCTCTCCCTTGGGTGAGGTCACATCTCTAGGCTCTGATTGGCTTCTGAAGAAGCCCTAGATGCGCTGATTGGTTCCAGCCACCCGACATGCAGCAGTCACGGACTAGCTGCGTGTCCAGATAGGGGCTGACTTAGGGAGGTGGTTCCGGATCCCTGCGATGCCGTGGATGCTGTGGGAGCAACCCTACCAAACACCAGGAAGCCTTAGTTAAGATGGAATGCGGGAGAATCTTCAAGAAATCCCCCAACCGTATTCAGGCAGGCCGACGGCATTCCCTACAGCATCAACTGAACTGACTGACAGGCAATCTAATGTTAGATACTTCTGACCTCATCCTCAAGATTGCTCAGGGGCTGTGACTCCATTGAGGGAGAGCACCTTAAAAAGCCTGATATGGCTGCAGTAGTAGGTGTTACGGCAGAAGCAGCCAAGAGAACGGAGAAGGAAACAGGAATAGAAACAGAACATTCCAGTTACTGAGCAATTTGCGATAATTGGTCTGTTTCCTTTTCTAGCTCTCAGAGGAGTTCTGAGTGGACGGCGTGGGGAGGGGCCAGAGGACCTGTCACTGGGGTTTCCCACAGTCACACTCTAGCCTGTGATTGTGGCTAGGGAGAAATCAGCAAAGAACAAAAGTAAAAGACATTGAAAAATCTCCTTTTGCCCTTTTCCCCCCGACACGTACACAGGCTGTCCTGACCCGGACAGCTGTATCTATGTCTATGTCGGGGTCACGACCAACCCCCGAAATCCCACCTCAGGCCAGCCTGAGAACTTAAAAGAATGAGAATAAAGAATATTCTAGACAAGAGAAAGTAGAGGAGGACTGAGACACATCCCCCCTCCGCGCCACCTCTCCACCCCCAGCACACACACACATCCTTTTCCCATAAAATGAGGGAGAAAGGAGGACAAAGGTTACAGTGACCCCTGGGGATCAGTTGTACTGTCTCAAAGGCAAAGTATCAGGAAGATCAGA